TGTGACGGAATAATACACATACTGGATGTTAATTACTACTGACTGAACTAATTAGTAACTGCTTCTAGTAATCAGGCGGTTTATGTTGAAGCTAGATATACAGTGGCCAGACAAGGAAGAAAAAATCAATGAGTAACACCATAGTCGTTCATCGAGCGTGATAACAACTTAAATGTCAAGCCATATTTTTGCTAGAATATGAGTAGGTCGATGAAACCTCAACAACTAATGATAACAATTCTTAAGTTTTTTTTCAATATTGGCTGGAGCCTTCTAAATAATTAAATTAGGATACTTGATGGAATTCACTGGACACAAGAAATAATCAGTAAATTTCGACTCTAAGAGGTATCTCACGTCCCGGAAAAACCCAATCAATCTCATCATTTTTCAATTATTTCTTCTCTCTTTACTCACTGATTTTTTTTGATTTATCTTATCTCGCCTCGTATTTTTATCTTTTTTCAAGTTGTACATTGCTGAGAAATGTGGGGACTAAAATTAAAGCATATCTTCAGTTAGATTCTACAATACTCTGTCTATCAAGTACATTATACGTAGAGAACTTTACCTTCTAGATGAAGATAATTTTGATAACTAATATATCCATGCGCCTAAAACTACTTTTTGATAATCTTCTTGTTCGTAGATATATTTTAAGTATATCATAAATGTATATCTCAAAATGGATGTCTAGCTGAGGTTGTGATTGTTAGAGGTTTTCATTGGGACTTCAGAAAAAGATTTCTGATCAGAATTTACACTGGATTAAACTGCTTAACTTATAGATGATCACTTCAAAGGGCTATTTTTCCTTTCCATTGGTCAACCTTTCCTGAAGTACAGCATTTGTATTGTCTTAGCTGTTTCCAAATGACTACTCAAAGAAAATGTCGCTAACTATATTTCCAGGTTACAGTCTTTCGATAAACTTAGATGTACTGAGTCATCATCATTATTGATTATCTGGTGCAGATCCGTTCTTTTCTCAAATGTTTGCGCTTCATTTTTACTTCTACTTCCCCGTGGTATGTGACTTTGTCAGTTTGCATTCATGACCCTGCAGGGATTCGAACCCAGGACCTTTAGGTCCCATGGCCAGCACGTTACCATTGAGCTGCTGGATTGAAATCCAATAATACATATTTCTAACTGCCGTCAGTTTGAGACATAGTTTGACCATTGCCCAATTTCATCGCTGAGTATTCGTTCTCACATCCACCAGGTTCGCCTGACCGGTCACAACTTCTCATTGAGACTTGAGGAATCACCTATCGAAGCTAGTCATCAATAAGTAATAAATCAATTCACTTTGACGATTTGTGGGGATTTATGGCCACGGAGCCTGAAGGTCCTGGCCTTGATCTCTGGAGGAGTCATGGGTTGGCACTGCTGAGGAGTCTCACACTTGGACGAGACAGCTTTCCAGTCCTCCCAGGTTTCCCATAATCCTCCAAATGATGTCAGTCCTAGACGAATACCAACTTAAAATCAAAAAAAAATCAGCACAAACCCTCAAACTTAATTACCCTTTAGTTTGAATATTATATCTTCTAGGGTTTTTCTTGCCATTTTTTAACAAGGATTATCGAAGATCATTTGAACAGATAGCTATTATTATCAGCGTCTATTGAAAGCTAACGTCCATATCTTTACAACTCAGTGGCAGCTTAAGTCATCAGATACACTGTATTATTCAGAGGACTCTCCAACGTAATATAGGTCAAATTGGCTGCGTTCGGTTTCGTATATTCTATTTTATTTCTACCCTTGAATTACGCAGGTTTTTTCTGTTTCACTATGTTTCGTACTGCTTTCATTTGTTGATAGTACACATTCATTGCAGCTTATCAGTAGAGTCCATCGACTACTTTTGAGAGATTCTTTATTTTTTCCCAGTACAATTTATTTCGTAACCATTCAAACAGGTAAATCAAAACCTAGATATTACTTTTCATTATCAGTTTAACACCCACTAAAACATTGAAGGAATACTAAATGATAACTTCATTCCATCTTGTTAGTTATCCCTTTGTATTGCATACCCGTGATAAGTCACATGATAGACAATGAATTTACATTTTAATGAAAATTTTTTTTCTTCAAAAAAGATCGTATATTATTATAGTAAATATATATGAGATTGAAATTATTCATTGAAACATTAAACTAGTATATGAAAACAAAATAAAGATAAATGATATGTACTTGTATCTATATATTCCTACTGTGAACTCTACTCATCATTGTCAATATTCATCTAAGAGGATAATCTGTATTGTCACTCATCACTTATTACTGTTACTACACTTACTACTATTAATAGTAGTTGTTGTAGTAATATTTGAGTTTTGAAGCATGTGCACACATGCATACGCACAACGAATTGGTTCTTATGACAGTCTTAGTTTGATTACACAATCCATGTTGTATATAGTGAATATTTTGCATAACTTTACCGTACACAATATTATCATATGTGTGTTTGTACTAAACATTTTCTAATTGCATTATTCTATCAGCTGTGTCAGCTTTATACGAACTAGTACATTTATTATTACTTATATTATTATTAGTAGTAGTATTGTTAACAATAGTATATGTTGTTATTATCAGGATACTTTAATGTTCTATTCCACTAACTATTCAGCAGGTTTTTTCTCAAATTTGTATTTTCATCTCTGAGGTTAGAGAGGACAGTGTGCATTACTATTTACCCGTTAAAAATTGAGGTTAAAATAATGATGACTTATCGAGAATAGATTTGTTGAAAACCCTAAAACATACAAGACTGCTGACGAGTTCGATGTAACCGAGTCGAAAGCAAAAGCACTAAGTAGTTTAAGACGGGACAACTACTTATACTGGTGTAGTACTCTGGATAAACCTCTAAATTTCACTAAGTTTGGTTATTCGAATGAGGAAATGAGAGTATACGGTATACTTTATGATTTTGAAAACTGTAACTTCAGGAGGTACAGAATTGTTATGCATGCCTGAATAGTAAATGATAAGGTTACTGAACTTTGAATAGGCGGGTAGATGAAAAGATGAAAACAGATCTTAAAGGTCAGTTTATGTACTGAACTCATAATCTGCGGCCATGGGTACTGATTCTGCAGTGTTCCACAATAACCAACAATACTGTTCTCATTACATAAGCGTTGATTAAATCCGTTGCTGTCAAGCTGTTATCCAGTACCTTATGTATAATGCTTGCTTTTATTCTCAAATAAGCTTTGCTTTTAGGTCACAGATTTTGATTGATGTTTTTGAGATCATATAAGCTTCCGGATATTTTATATGCATTGAGTCCACTTCTTCAGTCATTTGTAGAAATATTGGGGAAAAAAAGGTTGCTCACCGGCTTGTTACTAGATCTAAAGAGTTTGAGTTTTGAGTACACTGATAAACTTTAAGTTTGAATTCAGCTAATCTGGAGTTTGTGTGAGATGTACAATCTCACAGGCTTAAGTGAGCAAAATGTTACTAAAAACAAACGAAACTTTCCCTCATTCTATTATGCCTAACCAGTACAAATTAGTATTTGTCATGTTTCGAAACTGAGTTTCACCCTACGAATGGATTATTTTTCCATATATTTTTGGATATCTAGGGTAGGAAATGATTTGCAGGTCTTGTGTTTATGAACACGAACATTTTAAAACCAAGTATAGCCAGAAGGATCTACTCCCATGAGTTGATACACTAGAAGCTAGAATACATTAGCTATATGCTGGTAGAAATGAGTTAACCTGTAGTTTTGGAAAGAAACACAAGGGCACTTGTCAAGAAGTTCCCGTTTAACAGAAATGCATCTAGTGAAGTTCTATTTCCGAGGCTGTCTAAAGTCATCAGAAGAGCCTTGCATACTGGTAAACTTTGCTTATTATTTTCTAGTCGGTTGATGATTATTGCCTAAACAAAAAGCTGGCTGCTCATCTTTGCCACCTCTGTGTATATTTACCGATTCAGGTGCTCCTGCATAAATAGGTATGTGGCACATACCACTACTTAGTTGAGCAATTGTGTCGCTGAATTCCTACCTTCATGGTTGGAAAACGGACAACTACTGTCACATTCATTTGATAGTTATCGTTTAACAGATAAGTCTAAAGCGTTTAGAAGCATCTTTTGCATTCCGTAGAACTTTTGAATCGGGTTTGTATTCGCGTATTATACACAGCTGATACTAAGGGATTAAGAGAAAGTAACGCTAGTTTTTGTGAGCGGAAACGTTTTTACAACCCCTATCCTCTGCCTTAGCCAAAAAAAATAAAATTATTAAACAATTTAAATGGTAACTTTAATTTTTTTCCCACCTGTTTTCTTTCCTTCGCCACTTTATGCATATTTTTTATTTGCTTAGATTTTGATTATCTACATACTTTATTCTTTAATTTTGCGCATTGATGTTTTAAATGTCTACAGTACCACAATGTTCCCATTATTCCTATCATGACTAGAATTATTATCTTTATGGTTACTATTTGCATACTTCAACTACCATATCACTACAGACCTAGGCATTCTCCATGTTTACTTAAATGTTTTATATTTAAGTAGTATTATATATACTAGGATAAAACATGAGATCAAACTGAAAACAATATTGTTCGCTTACATTTCATGTTTCAACCGTAATCATAATGATAAATGTTATTATGAAATAACCGAGTAACATATAATGCATATACTTAGCATTAATCACCTTTTTTCAGTTGGTGGCTAACTGAAAAGTACTAACTTCTCTTTTGAAATCTCTTATGTAGCACGTAGAGTATCTTTAGTTGCACGTTGAATTAAATGTCACTTTAAAGCCTATCCTTTTTATGATTTGTTGGTTAACTTGGAGGAAATTTTATCTCTAAATATAAGCATAGGCATATGTTTCAGTATAAACAACACATATTTGTTATGCAATATCAGTCTTCACATAAACTGAATCTTTATCATATTTATACGTTTTACTTCCGATCACTACTGATTCATTGACTTAGGCCAATAACATACGTTCAGGAAGAAGCTCTGGATTCGATGAACGTTATTCACCTCAGTCATTTAGACAAGGTGGTAAGTTGTTACTTATTCATCATATTCATATTATTTTATATTTTTCAAAATGTTTAGAAAATCAAAACAAGATTTTCCTGAAAGTTTTTTCAACTGCATATTCTGATTTATTTCGATGATGTTGTATTCTGTGAGCTGAATAGTGTAATTGTGAAGCCTCATTGTCATCCTAGACGACATCATCACCACAACCTACAGAAAAAAGTCTTCTTTCTGAATTTTTTCTAAAAGGACGATGAAAGCTTCACAATCCAATCATCCAGTTCAAATGACACAACATCAAAATCATTCTTCTGAGCTACAAATATTCTTCAGCATTCTCACTTATATTAAAGATCAGAATATAAATGGTCAACTAATATACATAATAACTTCTGTGTATGAGTCATTGGTTAGCTGATTTGTGGTTCAAACTGATCATTTCTAATAAGGCGTTATAATTTTATACGATCTGAACAACAAATCAGCTGATCAGAGACTTGAACTTAGGAATAATTAGATATACCGAATCAAAACTCGAATATTCTACTGAGGAAGCCTTGACGTACACTATGAAACATCCAAAAAAATCTTGTTTTCCATTTTCTGATCACCCTGGAACTATATTAAAACCTAATCATGCAATGATTAAATCAGATTTGGGCATAAAAGTCTCCCAGACCATTTGTAACAACTATGGACTGGACAAAATAATGCTTGTATGTCACACTTCCAATTCTTCCTAAGCACAAAAGCAAATACTAATGACTTGAAGTCTGGACATTCAGAATGAAATACTTTGTAAAAGTGTACTTTTTTGATGAATATTGTTCTGTTATCCTGGATAGCATTGCTGGCACAGCTTCAGCGACTCCATATATGATATTATGAAGTTTAATTTAAAATAATGTCGGTTTTTATCAGAAAGAGTATTCCATCCAGTCATACTTTTAGTTGTTATGTTGAGCCTTGGTTTATACAAAATGTATTCTTCATCTCAGTGGATCTCCTCAGCATTCTAAACATAATTAGTTCGTTATAAGTAAACGATTCTTGATGCCATTATGGTTCATTGATTTAAGGAGATGACTTTCAATCAGTGAGTTATGGGCTCGACCCGACTCTGCCTACCGAGGTTCGGACAATTAGATAGTATCATTAACCCTCACACAACAGATGTGGATCATTGCTTACTGCATTATTGTGCTAAAGGTTGCTCAGTGAATTTCTAGACCATTCTAGGCGAATAACTCTCATGTATTATTCCCTGATTAAAAATACGCATGCAATACAAAGAGTCTTTCAGCACAAATAGTATATAAGTAGACTTTATTAGTGTGGTGGTGGTCGAAAAAAAACTACGAAAACTTTTAAACCTATGCTATGTACTTCATATGGCTCGCCAGTAACGCTTATCTTCAAACTTGAAAGAACTGATATCTCATCAGTGATTCAAACCTACTTCATTCAGTGGTATGGATAGAAATCTCTACATTAAGCTTTTCAATCGACTTCATTAAGCATTCGAAACTCAACACTGTGAAGTTAACTATTTTCTAATGATTATTTAATCACTGAATGAATGATTATTGAAGCTGCATTGCAGTTAATAAGGTCAATGCGTTTGATTTAATGATATCTGTATTTTAAGACGAATCTACAATTTTAAGAATCCCTTATTATTTAAAATATTAGTGTACTAAGCGTAAAGTATGCATAGTACGTATTCAGTGACTAAGTTATTAGATTACAATGTTGATTAGCGTAAGTGGTCTTCATAGTTCACAATTTACTACTCTACCATACTTTTACTCAAGAAAATTCATGCATATAGTCTTGAATAGAATGTTTTAAGTAAAACTTCAGATTGAAATTCACCATGAACCACTGGAGATTTGTGAGCAGTACAAAAAAAAGCTGTTTCGTCTTGGTATGTGACTCCTCAGCCGTAGGCAATAACGACCGTACATGGAGTCGGACATAGTACCTTCAGGTTCTGTGGTCAACACATTACGTTTGAGCTAATGGATCCAAAAAAACCTCCAAATTAAATGTAGTCAATTTTGTAAATGAATTAGTGAAAAATCATCTGATTACGATGAATATTTGCATCGACTGTATGCTTTTACATAATTTGCAAATCATTAAACTCATCAAAACCTCAGTACACTGTTTTGATTGTTAAGCGTCGGTAGTGAAATACAGTACCTAATTTCTATCCCATTTGAGACTCTTCATTAGAATGTGTCTGTATTCTAGTAAGTGGAGGTTTCATCAAACAAACCTAGAATTGATAAAAAGTTTTCCAGTAGTTTATCTGATCAACGAAACGAAACTCACTTAATCACCTTATGCACATTCGTGCATTCGAGCTACATTTGTTGTATGAGAGCTAGTGATACTACCTGGCTGCCTAAATCTCGGTTGGTGAAGGGAGTCTGGAACCCATTACTTACTGGTTGTTAGTTATCTTTCTAAACCTGTTGGACCATAGCTCTTGGTCGGATTTATCCAATAAAGATAAATGCCACCTTCTATGCAACATAGTTCAGTTGTTATTTATTTATTGGCATTTTAGAGTATTCTCAAATGAATAAAATATGATAACGTCTATGTAATTGCTGCTTCATGGTATTTTGAAGGGAAATATCCAACAAAATGATAAGTGGATGACATAAATTATTCAAACAATAAAATATATATATAATTGTAAAACTTGGGCACAAAGCTTGTTAAGAGAGAATTCAAAGACTCTGCTGTGTTACCATACAAGGAAGGCACCTCAGAAGCACTACGAAGAATTCTCAATAAGGCTGGGATTAAAGTGGCATTCAAACCAACAAACTCACTTAGAAACAAGCTTTGTAGGTTAAACGATTCTATCGATGCAATTAAACAAAATAATCTGGTTTACCAGATTCCTTGCAATGATTGCGAGGTCAAGTACATAGGTCAAAGCAGTCGACCAGGGTCGATTAGAATAACAGAACAAGAAAACTTAGCTAAATCAAGATCAGTAGATCCTAATAAGATAAGAAATCTAGAGAAAAACTCGGCTGTAGCTCTGCATGCGATGACACACAATCACATAGTAGGGTGGGATAGGGTGACAGTGTTGAAAACTAACTTAGTTGGGTGGAGTGAGGGAGAGATTGATAACCGACTGAATCTTTGTTTATCGAATCAATACCAAACACATGCAATCGAAATGGTTCTGCACCTGTCCCAGATATATGGAAAAGTCTACTACCCTTATCACCATAGAGAAGGAGAGAAAATTAGGAATATATAAAGACTGTCTGGAAGTTGTGGAGTTGGTTACCTGATATGATTATGGACAATAAATTGTGTCCGAAACGTTATCGAGTAAATGCTACTGTTGCTTCACTGTATGATATTTCTAATAAACAGACTAAAATAAAATATATAGTGATAATAAATACTAGTTAATATTGAAATATTGGAATTTCGGAAAGTCCAAGTAAGCGGCTCTAGGTTAAACACCGCTCATTTAAGTTTTGTAATTCAGTGTGTATCAAAACGTTTATTTGTTCACTGTTGTTCAGCATCTTAACTGTTTGGTTAGCTAATGCACAAATACAATGTAAGCTGCTAAAGACATTCTCAGTAATCCTGGTAGAACCATATGTAGTCGCAGAAAGTTTACATTTGTGATCACCTAATCTACTTGTTGTCTGTCATGACAACTACGTCGTTGTTAAAAACCGATGTGGAAAATACTGACTTCTTTATCACAAAGTTGAACTCATTTCATTTCCTCTTCATCTTATTTTGGTCGAGTTTTTTTGTAGGTTTAGTTAACTCACCCTCTGTTATAACCTCTAAATTAGCATTTTTGATGGCTAGGTGTACAAAAACCTCTAAATTTGGATATTGACTGTTCCGTGAAGTTTTGATTCAGTATTCCACTTACTTGGAGAACTAATTAAATTACCCATTTTGAGTTAAATCTACAGATTTTATCCAAAACATTTAATTGAAAGTAAGCCAATAAGACTTCAAAATATGCATTTAAGGACAAGTGATACTTTGGTTCATTGATATAGTAGTTGACTTTCAGCCATTTGGTCAGAGTTTCAAACATTGCTCCAACTATCATTGTTTGAGTGGTCAGTTCGTTTCATTAGCGCTTATTTGAATTTAGTTCATGAGAATGTTTCGACTTTTTGTTGAGGAAAAGCTAAAACATGGATTTCCACAAAGTCACAGAAAGCATATGTTGCACTTATTGACTGTTCATTTGGATTAGCTCCAAAAAGGCAACTTTTGGGGTCCTAATTACACCTCTTATTTAAGGTACTTAACAGAAAGAATACTGAGTAGTATAAAGTTATTGATCTACATTCTCATAACAAAGATTAAAACGGGTGGTTTAAACATAAATCTATCAATGCTGTTGAAATGTACGCCATGTCTGTATCAATTTAATCAAAACTATTTTCTTAAGAATGAATGACCTGTAAACTACAAGTGAATTATGTTTCATTGACATGAGAAAAATTCTAATGGGTAGGAAGGATTTTATCGATAAGTCTGGAAGATTCTACGCTAGTTAATATAAACTGCTACAAGAAAGATAAACAGACGGAATTACGAAAAATACTGGGAAAGAAAGATGACTGACAACCAAAACTGTGATGAAATTTGATGCAGGATATCTGACGTATCCTTTTATGTGGGAACTTAACAAGAATTATCCTACCTATGATGAACTTTCCACATTCTGAATTCATTATTAGTTGCTGAAAACTGGAAAACGTTTGCAAAACTGTAAACTATTCCAATTTGTCTAGAGACTTCATGGCACAGAAAAAAACCTCTTTATTTACAAGTTTACTTTTTCTTGGAACATCAGATGTCTTCTTTACCATACAGAGTGACGTTAAGAGTCGATTTCAGTTCAGCAGCGTTCAAAGTAAATCAGTTAACCAAGTAACTATTTGATATACACTTGCTAAAGTTATGGTAGGCTTCTTCATATCACCCCTAAGAGCAACTAC